TAATATTTTGATAATCCAATGCAGTCAGTCAAGTATGAAGTTGTTTCAATGTGAATCATATAGCGGTTGTCGATGATTTTGAGAAAGCTGCAATGATATTGGAAGCCATGCAGTTTGTTTAGAACAGGGACATTTTGAAAGGAGGCTGCACTACTGAGAGTGAATGACATAAATATCTAAATAACCTAAAGTTCAGTTTGCTTCTGTATTTCTTCATGTGTTGCTCACATAGATGGAACGTGTCATTGCAGGTATGAGACATTCTCAGATGTCCAAGTGGAAGCAGAAGAAAAGCTACTGTTTTACCCAGGAGGTCGAGTGTTTCAGCACCATGAAAATCTCGGTACCTACACCCTAACATTTTCTGACCTCCCTCAGAGAGAGGGAGAGTCAGATGAAGACAGCAGTGGAGGCTGCTCTTTACAGGAGAAGGTGCAGGAGCTAAGGAGACTTATTCAGCTTCACAGAGTCTCAAAGGTGAGTAAACAACATCTGAGTGTGATGACATTTGTGCAGGGGTGGAGTGAAGGAGTGGACATGGCCCCCACAGACGGAAGTCTGGCCCCCCTCAGACTAACCCACACAAACAATAGTTTCGTCTGTTAGCACATACTCATAGGCGTGACGCTATGTCCTAACAGTAATGTATGTACAATATGCAGTTTAAATAGTAAAATGAACAATTAAAAAAGCATAACTTGAGACAACCATTCCATTTTTTTTTCTAATCGATTGAGGGTTACACAAAGTAGTTTGTGTAAACCAGTCCTACTGGTGTTTTGTTTTTTTAAAAATCTTTTTTAAGCGGAGAGGGAGACAGGACAGTGGGGAGAAGAGTGGGGGGAGGACACGCAGCAAATGGCCATGGGTCGGACTCGAACCATGGCCGCTCCATGGAGGACTTTAGCCCCTACGTATGGGTCACCTGCTCAACCTGTTGAGCTACCAGGGTGTCCACTGGTGTCGTACCTGCATACCCTAAGCTAAGCTTCTCACTTGCTGAACATCTGCAAAGTAGATGTTCCATAAATGCCTCAAATTTAGGTTATGCACAGAGAAGCATCTAGTCTCCACTCAGTTACTGCAACGTAGCAGCTCAGACAGGTTTATGACCAAAACTCGCTTTGACAACAGTGAAATGAGGTGTTCTAATATTTAAATATATTTTCTTAAGAAATCGAGGGATTTTGTTCACATGGGCTTTATTCTTTAAGTAAAGCATTTTCCGTGTCAACATTGCAGTTGATTATGTTCACTTAATTGTGGGAAACCATTATTGTGATCATAATTTATGTTTGATTTTTCAGTCCTGCGTGTTGTGACTGAACGTAGTACCTTTTGAATCTGTATCAATGTAGTGCACCTCACTTGTATGTTAAATACAGTGTAAAATAAAATGTTCCTTAATGTTTTTTAGGGATGCTTGTTGCTGGTGCAGAAATGCTAGTGGCTAACAGAGTCTGTTACACATACACACAATGAATCATTGAGGTAGGAATGTGAATTACTTGAGTGGGTGTCTCATCTCGGAGAGTGATAAGGAAGAGATTCCGCCAGTCTCTCAGTATCCACTGCCGGCCTATCTGCAGCTGCCGGCTTTGACACTCACATGGGCTTCTCCAGCCTTTCAGTAGTCTCATTTTTAGCACGCCTGTCAACACAGCACTGTCTACTTTTACCCCAGAGTTTCCGTAGACCACCTTCTTCGGTAAGCTCGTTCAGTACAATGCAACAAGTGTTTAACTGCTTGCAACTGAGGCAGAATGTGCAGTGACATTTTCCTTTCAGCTGTTCATTTAGATTTATCTTCTTCTTGCAGGACAAGTCAGATTTTGCACCAACACATGTCTCTATCGATGAAGAACGAGTCCGCCATACCTGTGGGCTGCAGTCTTGCTGTAATGGTCAACAAGAGAGCAGGCAAGATGAAGGCTTGGCTGTGATAAGCATAGACAACTGTAGCACAAAAACAGAGGAAGCGGGAAGTCCCCGCTCATTGGGGGCGAGAACACAGGGGGAGGACTCAGCTGTTGTCACTCACACTAGTGGACGTCTTTGTCACAGCCAGGAAGCTGGGAGAGAACAGAAGGGTACACCAGCTGCCAATTGTCCTGCTGGCCAGAAGAAGAAAAACAAAAAGAGAACTAACAAAACCACGAGACGTGCAGCAGAAGCTCAAGAAAATAACACAAGCACCCCAAAGGCCAGTAGAAGAACTGCACAGAAATCCACCAAGACAAACGGAAGTGGAAGTGTTTCACCAAGGGAGCAAGCGGTGACACCTCTTATTGGTGACAGTGGAAAAAATCAGTGTAGCCCCGGAACACAAGAGACTCTCTTAGCCATAAAGCCAGTGCTGGTACCAAGCGGTGATGAAAAGTGTGCTGGCAGGAAGGCCGTTGCCTTGCCTACAACTACCATCGTAGAAAAACAGGAAGTAGAGAAGTGGGAAGTTGAGCTGCTGATGTGTGAGCGAGTTGTAGAGACAGAAACAGAAATACAGACAGAGCAGGAAGACACGCAGAGTCTCCCAACAGAAGAAGCTCTGGAATCAGCTGCAGAGAGGACTGGTACGTTGTACGGTATGTTGAAAGACATGCCCAGTGTTAGAGTCATGCAGTTAATGAATAGTAATATTGTGCTTTATTTTAATTTCAATGTTATTTTTACCCCAAGGCGACATTTTATATTGCCACCCAGAGGTTCTACTATTTTATGCCTACTGTTAAATGTGACTGGAGGCTCTTTTACCAATATAATTATAAAGCACCTTGTAATTTGGACATAGATTGACTTAGCAGAAAAAAGACAAAGTAAAGGGACGCTTAGGTTGTGTTTTCTGGTTGTATCGTTGTTGATTGTTGAACTATTATATCCAATTAGTTTGCATTGTGGGTATAACAGGAATCACTTATTCAGAAGAGCCATTTAGTTGTGGCATCTTCAGACATAATCAAAACTAAAAAAGAAAAAAGAAAAAAAGGTAAAAGTAAAAAAGTCACCACAATAATAACTGTAAAGAAAAGTAGGCAACTAGATACGATGGGTTGTAGAGTAGTTCATGAAAACAAATAGTACTGGTCAGTCATAAACCAAAATAAATATAGACTTAAATCCACTTTAACTGATTTACTGGGACTCTTGGGGTTAGTGCACCAAACTTGTACACAGAAATGAAACTGAGTATCACCTTTTAGACAAACAGTTACTTCCATCTCAGCATGGTCTATCATTTGAAGTGATGTTTAATGAACCCAGTGTTTGCTCTGATTTTGGTCACTACCAGCTCCTGAGCAAAATATCCAGGCCTTATCTGCAAAATGCTTGAACATGTTCACCAGCTAGTCTCTGACCGTGTGTGTCTACTATTTGCTGCACAGCAGGTAGTGTACAGTGTTAACATTTTTGTTTTTTAAAACAAGTGCCTGCTAGAAAAAAGGTGAAGGAGAAAGCAGGGGCCAAACCACAGTAGTGAAATTGTCTGGTGTAAAACCCAAAACAGTGAACTGAAAGATACTAACACTCCACAGAGCTGAGGGGAACTGAAGAGCAGGTTGTGGTTTTCTATGACCTTGTCACTAACATGCTGAAACAGAAAAACAGCATTCAGGTTAGTCAGTCATATTTATAGGAGATAATTAGGGTTAACAGTAAAACTATTTCCGTAAGTTGTATATCATCATTGCTATGCTAAGAGTCAAGTTGTGATTGACCAGTTCTTCTTTCAAAAAAGAAAAACAAATGCTTTCTATTGGAGTCCTTAATCTAATCCTGTCTCCTTTCAGTAACCATGGGTCAGGAACAATCCCAGGATCCCCAGCAAAACCAGTCAGACACAGAGGAGCCAAGCCAACCTCACTTCATCAACAAGAGCCCTCAGCATGGCACTAGGACAAGCCCCAGGTCCCCAGACGTGGAAGGGACACGCAGAAGAGTTCTATGGCGCGACGGAGGCTGGATAGGATCTTTGCCAGAACCAAAAGGAAAAACTGTTTGGTATCAGGGTGAAAACGTAGATCAGTGTGCAGATGAAGACTTCAATAGAAAAGAAGTGAACTCCCTGTCGATTTGGTATGACACTGACACAGTGGACGAGAGAAAAGATGGACAACTGGAGAAGGGAATGAGAGAGGAGGGAGAATGCGATTTGAGCTCACCCCAAGCTTCAGGTCTTAGTTCTTCCCAGTTAGAACAAGGTCTTAATTTTCATCAACTGTCTGCAGCTCTTTGCCAGCCACATGCTGCTGGAATACAGCCAGCACTGTCACATGGGCTCCACGCACAAAGACAGGAAGCAAACGGATCACAGCGAGAGGAAGAAGTTAGGTCAGATTGGAAGGAGGAACGAGTGGTGGGATGCAGAGAAGACTTCCAGAACCGAGAGACGACTGACGGCAGAAAGAGTTCTGAAACGGCAGACATTACAGAGGGAGGAGATGAAAAAGCAGAGAGTGAAGAGAGAGGAGCGAAGGGCAAAAAAAAGAGGAGGAAGAAGAGGGGCAAGAAAGGAGGTGCAGAAGTAAAACTTAGTTCAAGCTCCAGTGTAGAATCTCAGAGTCAGATAGAGACACAGAGAGAACAAGGGACAAACATCAGTGCTCAGTTTGAGACGGATTCAGTCTTCAAGGCAGACTTCCAGCCTGCTACTGCTTCTGAGGCAACCCAGGGGGAGGAAGCCGACGAGGATGCCATGCACCTACCCAGGCGGACGGAGGTGCTGACCAGGGACGCTCATGGACCGGACAGTGACGTTACAGACACCGTTTGTAGTTTTACTTCTAAACTGCTCAGTCATACAGATGACATGAAAATTAATTGGACGGAAACTCCAGCTTCACAGACAGTCGAAACAAAGGAATTATCAACGGATAAGAACATGAACTTTCACGGACCTGATTGCTCTGAACCAGATTCTGCTATCGTTGTGTCAGAACTTACTGAAACAGACATCAGTAAGGTAGACACAGAGAAAATGGCAACTGTGCAACCAGTGGCGATGGAATTACTTGACCCTACAGAGCTGGAATCAAAGGGGCACAATGTGGAGTCTGCAACATTGTCGGAAAACAAGGACCTCGCAGTTGCTACTAAATCTACAGCTTCCGAGAACCAAAGAGGTTTGGTAGAATCTTACTGCCCAAAGGAACAAGCTGTCACGGATTCAGACCCAACAGAGCTCACGGTGGACTCCTGTCTTCTGGAAACACTGCACTCTGTGGATACCATGGAACTACCAGTAGGATTTCTTGAATCTGTGCATCCTACAGAATGTGCTGGTCTGCCATTTGAAGACAGAGCGGATGCTTCACCACTTCAAATACAGGAAGGAAACACTGACACAACTGCAAGGGAATATTTAGAGCATTGTTTGGCCTCTGAGATGCTGAGAGATCAGCAGCACAATGAGGAAAAGAGAAATGAGCTGTGGGTGGGTGAAGAGGAAGTGGGTAAGGCCAGAAGTGGGGAGAGGAAAAGTAAAGAAAATGACAGTAGGATGGTGCATGGCAAAAAATCATGTTTGAAGGAGAGAAGGAAACAGGCGGAGGATGAGGGATTTTCTTCCTTAGACAGAGAAAAAGAGCTGAAATGCGATGAAGAGTTGGTTGCTGCAGCAGTAGCAGTTGTAACAGTAGCTATAGCATCAGCTGTGGCTAAGATCGAACTGAGCCAACATCTAGTAGACAGTCAGTCAGAGAGTCAGGAGGCAGCCAGTAGCTCACCATTAAAACAGGACAGCAACATAGCAAGTGTTGCAGTAAAGCAGCTGGCAGATGATTTTGTCAACACTGTTCAGTCCACACAGATGTCTGCAAAGCTTATAGACGGAGACAACTGTCCACTGCCAGCAGTGACTCCAGCTGAGACAGAAAACCAACCTGTATTGCATTTACACAGGGAACTTTGTCATCAAAGCAGTTCTAAAGAACAAGCTGACGTTCAAATATCAGAGAAATCAGATTTTGTAGAGTTACTGTGTACAACAAAGGCAGAAAAGCTACCAACAGCACTGCTGAATAGCAAAGATCATCCTCAGCATGACTTGTTAGCACTTGGAGATGCTCGTAGTTTACCACAATGTGATGAAGAGAAAATTCAAACAGAGGCTATACAGAACAAACCTTTTGCATGTTCACTGCTTAAAGAAGGAAGCCCATTGCATGCTCATACAGAACCGTCAGCAGAGGAAACAGAAATGATTGAGGTAGAAAGCCATGCTCACATCCAGACAGACATATTGCTGCACAAAGAAAGCCAGCCTCTCTGTCCTGTGATAGATACCGGACAAGATCCAGTGGATGCTGTTTCTGAGGAGAGCCTCATACTAACGGTGTATCCCAAAGATCAAACTATCTGTCCAAAAGAGGGAGCTGGACAGCAATTGGATGTACATGATATGTATGATGGCTGCTTTGTACAACAGTATGAGACAGAAGGACAGACACACTCAGCATGTACAGCAGAGGACAGTAACACATCAGACACACACTGTCACACCAAAGAGCTTGAGAGCCGCAGTTCAACACTTTCTGTTACACCTGGTGACTTAACAGATGCGGTTGATCCCGGTCCAGAGGAGCCGATCCCCACTGTGAATGTGGAAACAGGTGAAATCCTGTCATCAGCAAACACAAAGTCCGTCACTGTCACCACTGTTGAACTTGACAGTGTTTCAAATCACGGAGAAGATCCCGAGTCTGTCGCTGTGGATGATAAAGACGGTGTGTTGAAGGGGCTGGATGAAGACTCGGACATGTTGGATACAGTGGATGGATGGAAGGAGAGAGAAAGGAGTAGGATGAAAAGAGAAGTGGAACCCAAGGAAGAGATGGTCACAGTGGAGGACACATTCCAGACTGGTAACTCACTGTTTTAAAATCTATCATTATTTCCCCCTATATGGTGTTTTGGTTTTTTGTTTTTGTCTCTAAACAAATCATGCACAACCCTTTTCATTACATTCTGTCTTTAGTTGCTGTCCTCTTTGTGTTGCCATTAGCTATTATTTATCTGCCTCTCTCACGCCAATCTCTTCTTTTGTTTGGCCTGCGAAAATATAGGAAATGCATTGCAATTTGAGACAAATGGGACACAAAGTTCATTGAGTAACACAAGATAAGTTTTGACCTATCATTATTACATACATGTGTAGGATTAAATAATAAGAGTAAAAGGTACTGTTGGTGGTGCAGTTGGTAGCACTGTTGCCTCGCAGCAAGAAGGTCGCCGGTTCACGCCCCAGTGGGGGCTTTCTGCGTAGAATTTGCATGTTCTCCCCGTGCAGCGTGGGTTCTCTCCGGGTTCTCCGGCTTCCTCCCACACAGTCCAAAAGCATGTTGAGGTTGATTGGTGATTCTAAATTGTCCATAGGTGTGAATGTCAGTGTGCTTGGTTGTCTGTCTCTAAGTGTAGCCCTGTGATAGACTGGCGACCTGTCCAGGGTGTCCCCTGCCTTCGCCCTAAGTCAACTGGGATAGACTCCAGCCCCCCGCGACCCGAGTGAAGATTAAGATTATTATATACCACTAAACATAGCGAGCTGTTATGGAAAAAAAATTCTGCAAATCTTAGAGTTGTGGCATATTCATATTCACCACTATCTAAAAATCCTTTGGACTTTACAAAATGATGTTTACTGGTAAAAGCTTTATATTTATCCACTGGTTAGATCTACATCATTATCAGCCATGTCTGAACTTATAATTTCACATTACACTGGAATAGAACAAGTCAAATTTTTCAACATGTACAATACTTTCTACTAACAACCCCACAATACAGTGCTCTGCTTTTTATCTATGCGTGGTAGAAAATGGTCTGGCTGTACCTTGTTCTTTTTTCACTACAGAGGGCTCTGTGGCTTTTTTAGATTTCTTTGCATGTAAGGAGAGATGCATTGTCATTAAAAGTGCAATCATATAAATACCTACGGACCATAAATTGAGCTTTGATGAAAACTGCAAGTCTGTCTGCAGAAAGAGCCGTCAGCACCTTCACTGCCTCAGAAAACAATTTCCACATTGACCGAACAATCTTGATCTACAATCTATTCTATCGTTCTTTTATTGAGTCTGTTTTATCATTTTTCTTGGTGGCATGGTTTGGTCAGACCTCTGTTACAGAGAAAAACTGATTGAACCAAATAGTGAGATGGTCCAGTCGTCTGATTGGTGAGTCACAGTCTTGTCCAGCCTCCCTGTACAGTAGACAGATACAGAGGGTGGATTTATCAATCCTTCATGATGACTGCCATCCTCTAAGAGGTGAATTTCAGCTTCTTCCCTCTGGACGGAGGTTTTTAGCGTTATAAAAACAGCTTTGTTCCGTTCGCCGTCACTGAGCTCAATAAGAAGTAGTGACATTTACACTTTATTTTATTCTACGTATTTGATTTCTTAGCTCTATCTATCATTGGGACGTTTTATATTCTTATCCTGTTTTTGATCCCAGAGATTGCTTTAATTTTTTTATCTTGATCTTATTTATTTTATCTTATCTTTTTACTTCCTTGCTGTCATATTGATGAATGACGGAATACTGAGCACTTTCTCGTCTTTTTCTTTCTCGTCTTTTTTGTTTTTTTTTTTTTTTTTTGTCGCTCGATTCCGTCCTTTCTTTTGTTTTTTTTCTGCCAAATCTATCCACAGGTATTAATACAGTAACCTTGAACCTTGAACCTTAAAATAGATAATTCACCAAAAAACTTAGTGGGCTTGTGTTATTGCACAATTCAAGTTTGGTTAAACATGGGTATTTTCAGGGGTTGAAAATCCTCTGTTTGCTTGTCTTTCATTAGCAGAAGTCCACACACACAAAGTTCTGCAACATCACAAATCAACTGCCATATATTTTACTTGTTTTACTTCTGCCTTGTGTCATAGGTTACCTATTACACTAATTTAACCTTGATCTTTATCTGGATACATCATGAGTAATGCTTCCTGGGGTAACTGGATGTTTCAGGTTTTTCAACATTACACACCATCACCCAGGCAACCCAGTCAGGGTTGATCAACATGCCTGTCAAAATACAGCTATTAATATAACTTAGGATCTGAAATGTACTAGATTCATGTCAGAAACAACAATCTTTCTCAGGTTTCACTGAATGTAATTCACTCTTCTGCTGAAACCATTGCTGCTGATTATTTGAAAAGCATTAAGTCGGTATCAGGGATGGTTTCTGACACAACCAAAGACTTATTGGTCTATTGCTAAACATGAGAACATCATTTTACATTTTACTTATATCAGGGTTCTGCACATTTTTTTATGTTACCCTCCCTTTTTAGCAGTAAGTAGAGGCAAGCAGCAGAATAATGCTGACTGTGTGCCGGCGTGTGTGTGTGTGTCTGTGTGTGTGTCTGTGTGTGTCTGTGTGTGTGTGTGTGTGTGTGTCTGTGTGTGTGTGTGACAGTTGTTGATCTAGATCCACTGTTTGTATTGGGCACAGTATCCAAGCAACATGCTGATGTCATCAATGCTTATAACAGTTGACAGTGAAACTAGAGGTGGGCCCAGATATGTTTGTGGTGTATGAACATGCTGCTGTTAGTCTCTGCAGTGTGTGTGTGCGTGTGTGCGTGCATGCGTGTTTCGTAATGTGACTCAGACGACTGAGTTTTCACACTTTAGTGAAAGACATGAATATAAATGAAGTCTGTGTGCCTGCGTGCGTGATGCAGAGCCATGACATCATCTTTAGCAGTTGTCTCACTGGCTGACCTGCTGTCACTTCCTGTCTGCTGCTGCATTAGTTCAGTGAGTAACACTCGCCCTTCACAGCAACAAACTTCTGTGGCAATTGAAGTAGAAGTTACACAGAAGTTCTGCTTATTTTATCTGAAGCATTCAAACAGGACTATGAACCAGAAAACAAGGGTGAAATATAAGGTCTAGGTTACGAAAGTAAGTAAGTCAGTGGGCTGCTTGATGGCTCTTTGTAGTTTGCTGACAGTTGGTTGATGGTACTCTTTATGGGTGTCTCTACTTATCTATCCACTAATCGCTTTGGGCCAAAATGTGAATCAATTTTTTTCGAGTCGGTCCTTAGATAAAGTCTCAGCTTTGTCTTTCAAATTTTGAGGATGTTTTTTGACAATAGAATCTCTCATCTTAGCCAGATAGCCACAGATATGTATATTATTTTGTTTTTAGTCACCGACAAATAAGCTGACAGAAGTTTTATAAATTTTAAATATAGTTTTCTCAACAATATAATAAACTGAGCTTCGTAGTCTTACTTCACAGCAGTCTCACTGATGAACTACCCCCATTTAACAATGTAGCCCTTCACAAAACTCAGAAATCATTCAACCCCTTCTTGATGACCTGAGGGCTGCGCTAGACAGCCAGTTTGATATAGTCAGGCTTTCTTTGTGTCAGAAAAAAACTACAGAAACAACAAAAGCCCCAGTCAGGGATAACAGGTATCACGAAGGATGTTATCAACGTTCTTTGTTTAACTCAGGCTTTTTTCTTCAGGCTCTGTGCACTTTCACATTAAAGAGGGCGTTTAACGCGTCACAGGACTCTTCTTCAGCACAAAATCAAACAATGGTGTGCAGCTGCTTCAGTCAACACACTGCTATAATGGAGAGCTCCAAAGAATATCAACATTTCTGACACTGAAAAGTGCTGCGACTGCAAATGCTGTAATAGGTCCGATACTGTCCCAGAGGAAAGGATGTGAATTTATTTTTTGGCCAAATCAAAGGGAAGTTAATGTTTCTGATTGAGTATTCTCTGTAATAGATGCCACTAGAATAATCAATGTTCTAATCTGTGTTCTATCAGCAGCAGTACCAGCAGAGTAAACAGAATGAACAGCAAATCAGGACCAAACATAAAAAAATATTTATGTGATTTCTGCATTGCTAACTATATACATGTTGGGTTCCCATGGCAATACGATACATACAGTGTGCCATACTGTAACTGCATGGCTTCATTCTGTGATATTAATAACGCACAGGTTTACAGATAGAACACATTCCTTCATCTGAGAATTTGTATCACTCATAAAGAATCGTCAGGAAACGATTTGGCTAAAAGGAGATGTTCATTCCAGCCGATTTAAATTCAAAACTCTGAACATAACCTGCTCCGGACCAGGTTAGCTCCACGACATAAGAGATCTACTCAAGTTAAAAAGAGCCACCTACATGACACTGAAAACTGTTCTGTGTTTGTGTGCTGCTGGTGTCATTTCTGTATCCAGTTGTTTATTTAGCTATTTTATAGCTGCAGAGTTTCTTTCCCAAAGTTATAGTTATAGTCACTGTACATCCCATTATGTTTTCTTCCCAAACCTTGTTGTGCAGGTCATGTATTAGCTTCACCGCCCTGTCACGTCAGCCATGCTCTGACTCGTATGACAGTGATCATGTTTAGTCTTCAAGTTGTTTGTTGTGATTTATTCTTGTCTTGTGTTATCTCGACTTCTTCTTGGATGATGCGGTCGATGATAAAGGTGTTTGTCATCCTTGACATTAATAAAATGTGCACTAACTTGATGAAGTCATATAATGAGCTGTTCTCTGTCTTCTTCAGAAGCAGAACTGTTTCCAGCAGCAGAAGAAGCAGAGAGAGACTTGGAAAGCACATGCACTCTGCAGGTGAGTTTACGTTCACAATAGTAAATCTGAGACATGTGATTCATAGATGATGCGTCTGGCTGTTCACACCACTAGATACAAAAGCAAATGTGTTAAGATTGAAAGCAGAGAGCCGAGAGAGAAGTCCTACTTTCTCCCAGACTTGTACCTGGTGTGTCACTAAATGAAGCAGCCAACCAGACGTGATGTGATTGTGTTGACAAGTTTCCAAATTGTTGACCCTGTTCAGACAGTCTGACATGCATGTCCTGCACTGTACCAAACGTGTTACCAATATAGGAAAAATGGTTCTGCATAGCTTGTTTTAACAATTATTTTTGATTTGTCTCCATACTTGTCCCATGTCTGCTCTGTGGAAGCACCGTCTGCAATTCAGTCAAAAAGTCTCAAAAATGTTCAATTTCAAATGACACAGTTTATCTGTATTGAGTTTTTAAATTAGCCATCTACAATGCAGTGATCTTGATGAAATACCACTACTTTAAGCTTAGAGTTGGTCACTTTTTACCAACAGAATCTTGTGTCCTACATAACTAGTTCAAAGACTGTGAGAAAGTTGAAAATCCTATTATTCTTTTTTGTCTTTACAGTTTCTGGCCCTAATTTTGGCAAATTAAAAAAAATGATAACATGGCTTTAAAACCGGACCAGCAAGTTCGGGGGTTCAGAGAGTTGACTGCTATCCCTTGTATTAGTTTTTTAGAAAATAATAAAATATCACTCTCTGAGTAGATGAGGTATGAAACAAACCAGGCTGCCAAGGCAAATACAATCTGTGGAGAATGGCCTGCAGAAAAACGTTCATTTCTACCGCTAAGGGTTCCAATAGCAGCACCTGCTGAACTCCAAACTCACAGGTCCAATGATGCAGCCTGCACACTCACTGCTACAGATCGTAACGCCATCAGTTAGCTCGACAGACATTTTCAGCCCTCTGAGGTTAGATCAGGCCAGGCCAGGACAAGGTCACCTCTGATATCATATAAATCATTTTCTAATGTCTCCTAATGACGCAGTAGTTGGTCTTCTGGCGTTGCAATCATATTAGGAGACATGGGAACCCTGAGACCTGGACCCGGGGTGCATGATGTTATGTCAGACACGGGGGGGGGGAGAACGGTGAAAATACCAGAAAACTGCAGAATTAATGACAGAGGCTGCTTTATTTTGAAATAACAAGACATGAAGTCAAACAATCTAATGTTTGAAAACTCAAATAATCTACTGCAGGCCTTATGTCAGATTGAGATGTTTCATTCACTTGTTAACACCTGTTTTTAAGCTGTATTTATCCCTTACCTGACAATGTTTAAAAGCCTGGCTGCAAAACTTTAATGTAAAGGCAGAACTATCTTGGAAAGGTTGCTGAAATATGAAAGGGAAGGTGCTTGCTCCTCTGTCCTTCATGGATCTTTGAAAACAGTCTAACAGTGGTTGGGTTTTAGTATATCCATATTGGATCTGCTAAGGTCTGACACTGTTTATTCTTAGTGAGCCTAACGTCATTTATTAAATAGCTCAGTGAGACCTGGCATGGACTGTCATGATCTTATTGTAGATATATCAGTATATATTGTGCCTGCTCATCAGTGGGAGTAAGTATCAATCTAAAGCAGGGGTTCTCAACTGGTCTCCCCCTGGGACCCACATTTTCCCATGGTCATTAAGTCGCGACCCAGTTTTTTTTTTCTGTGTGTTTCCTGTGTAACATGCATTTCAGAGCATATAACCATGCATAGTAAATGGACCATGACAACTGCGTGTACAAAACTGCACAAAATAAGGAGGAGGAGGTGGGAGGAATATTCGGAGATCAAAATTGATATCCCGATTCCAGCACACAAACGAATAGTTGGCTATTCGGGTCCAGCCCTAGTATGAAAATCCACATTTTCAGTACTCCGGGTCATATTTGGCTTTGCCATCTTGCATCCCAACATCAACACAAACTTAAAATGAACGTCAAACAAACTATGGTTACCATGCCTGTCAAAATAAAAGTTTTTTCAAAATAAAAAATAAGTCCAATCTGAGACGCACATCATATATTATTTAATATTGACCAGCTGTCCGGGACCCACCCAGAACAGGTCCACGACCCACTTTTGGGTCGCGGCCCACCAGTTGAGAATCCCTGATCTAAAGGATGCACTAGGTTTATTGTCCTGTAGAAACACGGTTTCCATCAGAGAGAATAGGTGGATTTTCACAGCATATGTATACAGGCAAACGTACGAAACATATAAGGAGCTCTTTTTAAGATTGAACTTTCTATCAGTTTTACTCATTGAACAAAATAGCAGACAGCAGAATTTGTTAGTTACAGTTAATATATGTGGTGTGCACAAATAGATAAGTGGCAAATTAATGGAAAAATCTGAACCTTTGAACCCTACAGTGAGGGAATCTTGTGACTCTGTTACTCTGTGGGGGGTATTTTGTTGGCAGTGTTTGCATCCACTTATCGCCTTATGCCTGGATTATATTCCCGCAGACACCCACGTGTCTGTAATTGTTTTTATACCACTTTTTTTTAGTCTGTGGGAGTGTGCTTGGAAGACTCAGTTGCATACATGTGCATTAGGTTGTATCTATATATCCTGCACTTGCACGCTACTGCTGAGCGTGTGCGCTACTGCGCTTGTAGTGTAATCGCATTGTACTGCACACAAGCTCTGGTTGGTTTGGTTAGATGAGGGAATTTTTGTTAAACGGATGTTAATGTAGTGACAGACGTGAAAATTGCAAAATATAAAAATCTAACATTTATGGTTTCCACATGACTAATGTGAACTTTTGAAGTGCACAGTGGACACACACACACACACACACACACACAGAGTTCTATTCATATTACAATAGGTATGCATTCGTCTGCTGTATGAACAGACACAATGTTCCTCATATCAAACACAGAAAACCCCCCAGGGCTGTTGTGAATGTTTCTGAAAGGCTGTGGCTCTGTACTTTTTACACAGTATAGTTATTAGCTTCAGATTAGACTGTTGCACTGTCTTAGTGATTCCTGAGGTGTGCCAAGCAAAGAATGTGGGCATAGCAAAGAGTTTCTGGAGATTTGAGAGCCTCCCACTGTGTTTGAACACTGGAAAGCATGTGCAATTCAAAGCTGCTCCTAAGTCCGAAGCCTCCACTTCAACTACACCTCTTAATAAATAATAATATTTAATTGACAAAAAATGTCTCAATATCCAAGAATCTCTTCAATCTTTACTCATAACAACCATTTGCTTTAAGCACCATTTGTTTTCCTGGCACATGCACTGTCAGTGAGCTTTCAGTGTGGACATCTGGACAAATGAATTGGTGTTAATGCAGGCCTTAGCACCTTATCTTAGTTTTTCCTTTATTTGTTAACTGTCTGTACGTTGTTGCGCAGGTCTCCCCCAGGTTGACCCGAACCCAAACCTGTTACGACTCTGACAGTCATGTTGTCTTTGTGCTCTCGGTGTAAACTGTGTGTGCATGTGTGGGAGTTTGGTGATCTTCCTGTATCCTTTGCTGCCTCTCTGTGGTCTGTGCAGGTATAAATACTTCCAGATGTATGTCTCGCTCTGCGTCACAAGTGGACGGTGTTCGGCTGTTACCATGGGTATTGCTGTGTTTGTGTGCTGCTGATTGGTTACAGATGGGCCTGATTGTTTGCACTTATTGACTATAAGTTAGTGTTCTGTTCCAGTGAGTGAGTAACAGCATTTTGCACTTACATTTACAAAGAACGACTTTCATCAGATGAAGCTGTCCACTGCATCTACACACACACACACACACACACACACACGCACACAGTGTACTATGCTTGCTTTGAGGAATTTTGTCATGACCAGATTAGCCTGCTCGAGGCCCAAAGCAAAAGTTAGTTTATGTGGCCCCAACTAACCCACAACATTGCACATTACATGGCAGCCTCATTGTTTTCATAGGCACACGCAAGGCATTATGGGAGCCACAGTTCAAAAGCAAAAATACACACATGGACTAAATTGCTGGTACGCTTCCATTAACGAAAGGAAAACTTCAGTGGTCACTAAAATTACTTAAAAATGACAATCATATTTAATAAAAAATTGCAGAAAATCAGCTCATGAAAATCAGATATTGCTCTTGAATTGTGGTTCAACTGAATCATTAAAATAATAATAATAATAATAAATAGTGAAACTGGTCTGGACAATAATTATGGTACTCCAAGGAAAGATTGAAAATAATGTGACCACAGGGACATGTTAAACTAAGGTGTGTCCTGTAATTAGCATCACAGGTATCTTTAAACTTGCAATCAGCCTATTTGAAAGCTGTAAAGCAGTCACTGTGCTGTTTGGTGACGTGGTGTGTACCACATTAAACATGGACCACAGAAAGCAAAGGAGAGAGTTGTCTCAGGAGATGAGAAAGAAAATTATAGACAAGCATGTTAAAGGTAAAGGCTGTAAGACCATCTCCAAGCAGCTTGATGTTCCTGCGACTACAGTTGCACATATTCTTCAGAAATTTAAGATCCATTGGACTGTAGCCAACCTCCCTGGATGTGGCCGCATGAGGAAAACTAATGACAAACGTCCAAAAAGATTAGAGGAGAACCCCAAGGTCAGATCACACCGAGCCAAAGTGGACTTAATGGAAGACGACCAAGGAGGACACCACTGCTGAAAGCAAATCATAAAAAAGCCAGATTGGAATTTGCCAAACTGTTGACAAGCCACCAAGCTTCTGGGAGAATGTCCTACGGACAGACGAGACAAAACTGGAGATTATTGGCAAGGCACATCAGCTCTATGTTCACAAAAATGAAGCATATCAAGAACAGAACACTGTCCCTACTGTGGAACATGGAGGAGGTTCTGTTGTGTTCTGGGGCTGCTTTGCTGCATCTGGCACAGGGTGTCTGGAATCTGTGCAGGGTACAATGAAATCTCAAGACCATCAAGGCATTCTGCAGCAAAATATGCTGCCCACTTTCAGAAAGCTTGGTCTCAGTCACA